GGGGGCGGTTTTGAGTCTCCTTAAACCCTCATCCGCCCCACTCCATTGCCATGCCTAGTTAAGTATATGATACCCTGCAATGTTAACGAAATTCAATTTATCCTCTGAAAAACAAATTTTTAATCCCTCTTGAAGGGCTCGACCGTCTGGTTTTCTTTCAGCGGTTAAGATAGACTTTGAAGGGCTCGATCGTCTGGTTCCCTTTCAGCGAGATAAAAGCACAAGCATAGGGCATCTCATGGTATACTCATCTCAACTCACCCAACCAACGATGCGCGGGAAGTGTTGAATGATCGAAGCCAGAAATGAAAATAAAAAGCATTCAGGGATCAAGAATTCAGAGGTGGCACCGGTGCATCAAGATCATCAGCAACCTCAGCCTCTAGAGGTGGCACAGGTGCATCCCGACGCCTGCGGGAGGATGGGGGAAGTGATGCGTCATCTGGTGCATTTTGTGGCCTACGGGAAGAAGAAGTAAAATGTGGCATGGACTGAGATGTAGATGGAGTGACTTGAGGCGAAAACCGATCCCCGATCCCCAGGAGTGGGCTGAGATGGATGAAGTGGCCTGAGGAGAAGGTCGAGCCCCAAGAGTGGACTGAACTTCAGGAGTAGATTGTGCCCCAATAGTCAAAGCCTCTCCCTGACCAGGGGTACATGTTGTCTCTGAAACCTGCTGGCTCCGCTCCCGCCGAACGAATGCGTGCTGGGTAACCCGTCCATGCCTCAATCGGTCAGCTCTGTCAGCCATTATGCCTGCAAGGTATAATTAACCATACATTGAGTTTATGCAAATGAATAACACAAACAAGAAAATTATAAAACAGAAAGAAAAAAAACAGATTGAGAAAATTTCGAAAATACATCTCCGAAATTTTCTGAAACTCAGAGGTCACGACTATGACATCCTTTGCCCTTCAAAATGAGAAATCTGAAGCCCTAATCGTCCATTTGAGCCAACAAATAATATATACACTTACTTTAAACTATGTGTCAGCTGATTTATAAACATGTCTACACCTAACAATGCATTCTAACTCGTTTATAAGAATACTCGAATATTTATTAGAAACTCGAAAAACTTACCTCAATTATATAATTTGGAAGATGTTGAATAATGTATTAGATGATGTTTGATGATTACTTAAGTCTCGGACGAATGAAATCAAATTTGGTGGAGTTGAAGATATTTAAGAATGAGAGAGATGAAAAGGTTTGTGAATGAAAATGAAGAGTGTGAGAGAAAAAGAGTCTAACGCGATAATATTCTCCAAATTGATCCAGAAATATATCTCCAAAATATTTCAACGTTCACTTAAATTTTGATGCGTTCGAAAATATTTCTCTAAAATATTTTACCGTTCAATTAAATTTTATTGTCAAAAATATATATGAAAATTTTAAAAACATATAAAAAAATCATATAATAAATAAGATATAAGAAATCATAAAGTGAAAAAAAAATTCTCTACTAAAAAATAGATAGCGGCGGTTATCGTTTTTAAGGGTATATAAATATATTCTTTGTAACCTAAAATCTTTACCTATGAAATTAGTGACTGCCACCCCTATTTTCTTTTCACAAATCACACTTGTTCCTCAACACCATGAAGAGCATGAAGAGTATGAGAACTTGTGTCAAATCTTCACAACATTCTGCAAATTCAATTATAATTGCACAACCTGATTTTTACTTGCAAGATGACTGCTGGGAGCATGTGTTCACATTCATCATCAACCCCATCGACGATATAAAGAAACTCAACTTCAAATCCCTATCTCTCGTCTCTAAACAATTTCTCTCCATCACCAACCGTCTCATATTCTCTTTGAAAATTGATCATCTACATCTTTGTTATCTCCATCGTTTCTTGCATAGATTCTCCAATGTTAATTCCCTTGACCTCTCCTTTGGCTACCGTGATCTTGATGCCACCGTTGCTTTGGCTCTCCGCGACAGACAATCATTAAAATCTTTATCTATTTCCAGGATTGACCTCACTCATGCTAACTACATTACTACATATTACAATGATTCTTTCGTGAGTTTGAAGGGTTTGAATTCTCTTAAGCTCTTGTGTTCGGATATATCTGATCATTTGCTTTACTCTATTGCAAGAGAAGCTCTTCCTTTAAAGACTTTTGTTATTCAAAACTGTACCGGTAGCTATAGTTACCCTGGAATTTATGCTTTATTATCCAAGTGTCCGGGGATACAACATTTGGGTCTTCAAGATGTTGATTTTCTAAATAATCATCATGTTTCCCAATTGTCTTTACTTCTTCGTGATTTGTTATCTATAAACCTTAGTGGACGTTCCAAGCTCACAGATTCGGCTTTGTTTGCACTTGCTAATTGTCATTCACTTGGTGAGATAAGAATGGAATACACTGGAAAAAAGAGTGGAGAAAATTCAGATACTTTGAAAGATTTTCATGTTAATTCTCAATTAAAGTTTCTACATTTGTTTAGCAATTCACTTATCAACGACCAGACCCTCCTATTGTTTGATTCCATTTTCCCCAATTTGCAGCTTCTCGATTTGAGTTATTGCCCTGACATATCTAAAAATGGTATTTGTCAAGTTCTTAGTAGATGTTCAAAGCTTACACATCTGCACTTGACCTATTGTGGAAAAGTGAGACAAATTAAAATGAACTTTGTAGTTCCCCAGCTAGAGTTGTTGAACTTGTCTGGTACGGGGGTTGATGATAAAACACTCTATGAGATCTCAAAGAGTTGTTGTGGGCTTTTGAAATTGTTTTTGATAAGTTGTAAATATGTCACAGAAAAGGGAGTGATGCACTTGGTTAAAAAATGCAGACAACTGAAGGAGATCGATTTGAGAGGTTGTGATGAAGTGAATGCTGATGTTATTCTCTCAATGCTTTCATTAAGGTCATCATTAGAAAAAGATAATTGCTCCTCTGAAGTTCAGCTGAAGTTTTGATTCTTGAATATAAGATGTTTTTTGTTTTTATATTTGATTCTTTGAGAAATGATTTAACTTTTTAAAATACCAAGTTACAATTATGTATTTAATCGGCATTTTGTCGATGATAATCCTCTAAATATTTAGATTTTTATATGAAGTTTTAAATTTTGATGTTTTTCTTTACTGTGATATAACGAATTCATGCATGTTTGGAACTTGTATTGAATTTAGAGTGTGCTGGCTAAAATTGATTTGGAATAGGGCTGGCTGAACACAGTTACTGCTACATATTTTGGTTTCCTTGATGGGTGGTTCCACTGTATTGTTTTTGTATCCATGCATCTTGTGTAATGTTCATGTTTGCATATGTGATTCATAGGACTAAGATATGCTGTTTAGTCGTCGTTTTCTGTCACAGTCTGGTTTCGGAGAGTTTGGTCAAGGTGGGTGTGCTCTGCAGTTTTTGGTATGCAGCAGCCAGTTGAGTCTGCTGTTTCCGGTTTGTTCTAGTGCAGGGAGATTTTCGGTCTGGTGTGCCTATCCACAATGTTGTTTTGGTCTTCACACTGCCATTTCGGTTTTCTACTGCCTATCCTCAGAGTTGTTTCGGCCTTCTGCAGGCATCTTAGTGTTACCGAGCTCACATGTTTGTCATGCCAACTTCAACTTCATAATAGTCTTTGAAAAACAATGTTGGTATGAGAGTTTACAGTTTCCTTTTTAACCTTTATCGTAATCTTTCAATATGGTATATTTTCATGAAATTGGCATCATCAGAATATTTCTTTTAACACATTAAATTGGTATGTGGCTTTTTTTAGTTAATAGGATTATGATTAATCTTTTCTCATTGTACAAACATTGTAATTTTTATGATTTAATCTTAACGCATCTTGTGCCTAATTTACTGTTTATTAATTCATTTTGCTTTCTGGCTTTTTGCACAACTTTCGCATCAGAGACTTCCATACATTCTCCTAACCTCACTGTCTTTTCTTCTCACTCACATTTGAAGTCAATGCTATATGACTCATAAGTAAGATCTAAAGGTTTTCTTTTCTTCTTGATTTTATGGTAATTTTGTGATGTCATCTTTTGGTGCTTTCTAATAGAATTGGAACAGGGAAAAGTTATTTAGGTTTGAAATGCAAACATAGAACAAAATATATTTGAGTTCTATGTGTTTGTTCTTTTCCCTAGGTAGATTAATAGATAGTTACACTTTGGTGTATTAGTCCAAAGTAGCGCATTTTCTTTAAATTTGGCATATCATCTTTCTCTCTTTAAAGTAGATTAATAGATAGTTACACTCACAATTATCTTTCTAGAAGTTTCAAGACAACTCAAGGTGGTAAAACTCGTTGAAGAAATTTTAATAAAAGAATTCGAATATTCAAATTTTGAAAATCTAGATATAACCACTAAAAGAGTCATTTAATGATTACCAACCATGTTTGTTACTACAGCTATTTTGTGTAATTTTGGTTTTTCGGAGAGGAAAAGAATAGCAGGACAAAAAGCCCCCCGGGCCGTGAACCGCTCTGTCCCCGCTACCTGCTATTTACTCCATTGCGGCCGCTATAATGTTCAGCACCGCTAAGGCTCTTCCCATAGCGGTCGGTCTTTGCTCCGCTATAGCGGGATAGCGCCTCTATTGGCCGCTATTGACTACTCTAAGACATAAGACATTAAAAGATAACTGGTTTATGAAGAATGGAAAAATTTTCTTTAATGGAATGAAGTTTTACTCTTTAAAGAAAGGTGGTTCTAATCTTGATGCGCTTGTGTGAACATCATATTCATATGTAAGTATATCTGCTCAGGTTCTGACTTCTCCTTTAATTAATAATTAATCTGTAACAATAGTTATCTCTAATGAATACTTCTTTGAAATATTCTCGGAGAAGTTGTTATTTCAAAACATGCTTCTGCATACAATACCCTAATGATATAACTTACATTGTTTTTAAAATTTATAAATCACATGGATTCTTTATTCTGTATATCCTCAATCCTCTTGGAAACATCTCATATTAAAAATCTTCTTGACAGTCCTTGACAAATCTATTTTTGTAATCCTATAAGTTTGCTTATGGTTATCGTACCAAATGGCTGAGAAAGACGAGCCTGTGCAGTAACTGATAGTTCTTGTGCAACAGAACGCATCATGGGTCTAGACTCAGGAGCAGCACATGTGCATGCCAAAGCTACTCTCATTGTAAACATTATTGTTTCGCCTAATTCGTCTGTAGGAGGTGGAAGCTGCTGGTCTACAACATCCTTCACAAGCACTTCCATTAATGCCAAAGACTTGTTTGAATATAGGATATTCAAGAATTCTCCTGGGTGTGTTCCCATCAATATCTCTAACACCACCACGCCAAAACTATACACGTCACACTTTTCAGTCACCCTCATGGTTTGTGCTAGCTCTGCAAAATGCAAGTTCAAATTTTGCCGGTCAACAAATTCGTCAGGTATGTATCCAAAATTTTTAAATTGTAGAGATGATATATATGTATATGTATATCAGAATTTGACTTCTCAAAAAATTTCTTAATTGAATGGATTGTGTACCTGGAGCCATGTAGCCATAGGTTCCTGCAACTGAAGTCCAGGTTGAATCGTTAGAGCTTAGCAGCTTTGCAGTGCCAAAATCTGCAAGATGAGGCACAAAATCTGAATCCAGCAGTATATTATTCAGTGTGATATCTCTGTGCACGATTGGTGGAGAACAATCACTATGTAGGTAAGCAATCGCATGTGCTAATCCTTGCACAATTTCCACCCTTGTACCCCAATTTAGCTCAAATTTTCCTCCTTCTCCATACAACATTTTCCCCAAACTTCCTTTCGCTACATGTTCATAAACCAAGAACATTTCTCCCCTCCTAGAACAAAAGCCATAAAGCTTTATTATATTCCTGTGCCTCACTTCTGTAAGTGTTTTTATCTCATTCATGAAACTCATGCGGTTCTCTTTTGGGATGTCATCAGAATCTGATATATTGAGTCTTTTCACAGCAACAACTTGACCTGTAGGTAGTTCTGCTCTATAAACACTTCCAAATCCTCCTTTTCCAATGCAATACTTTTCATTGAAGTCATTGGTTGCTTTCACAAGATTAGAAAATGTGAATTTTCCATCTCTTCCCCATACCATGCAATTAGATTGATCATTATCTTCAATGCTTTTAGATTCTTCACTATGTTTTCTCGCTTTCCTTTGTAATAGCAGGATTCCAACACTAATCATCCCTATAAAGAATACTCCACCAATTGATATTGTAACACCAAGAAGCACCTTTTTTTTGGACCCTCCAGATTTGTCTTGGGACAATACTTTGGGGCATGCTAATCCCTTTACCTCACCACACAAACCTGAATTCCCAACAAAAGCTTCAGCACTTTGATTCTGGAAAACGGTGCCAGTTGGTATCAAACCTGACAAGTGGTTGTAAGAAAAGTCCACATATTGAAGGCTGAGCATACTTGAAAAGGATTGTGGGATTGTCCCAGATAGATTGTTGTGTGATACATTGAGAATCTCCAATGATAATAACTTTTGAAGATTTTGAGGAATTTCTCCTGAAAGATTGTTGCTGCTGATATCTAACATGGATTGGAGTGAGAACAGATTGCCGAGTTCGTACGGTATCACACCAGATAGATTGTTATGGCTTAAATTCATGCTTAGTAACCGGTTACAGTTACCGAACTCTTTAGGAATGCTTCCACTAAAGTTATTATCTGATAAATCAACATTAGTAAGCCAAGCTAATCTTCCAATACTCTCTGGGATATCTCCGGACAAGTGGTTCCTGCTCAAATTGAACTTGTAGAGCAGACTTAGATCTCCAATTTCAGGGGGGATATTTCCGGTGAATTCGTTAGAGTGCAGGCTAAGAACTTGTAATTTACTCAACTTACTTAGCTCAGATGGAATTTTTCCAGAAAATTTGTTTCCACTCATTTCCATCTCAGTTAAGTTGATACATTTACCCCAATCTGGAGATAGATAACCAACGAGATGATTTCTGCTAAGTGAGATGAAAGTAAGATTTGGATGAATCCCAAAAGCTTCTGTGATATTCCCATTGAATTTGTTGTCATCAAGCCTAACTCTTACAAGAGATGAACAATTTTTCAAAGAGTTCGGCAACGGCCCTGTAAAGCTGTTGTTATTTACTGACAAAGTTTCTAGATTGAGACCGCTACACATGTCAGAAGGAAGTTCTCCTGAGAAACTATTGTTTGAAAAGTAGACAGTAGTCAAAGAAGGACTATTCTTTCCAAAATCTCTAGAGATGCTTCCTGAGAAGTTATTCGTGAACACAGAAAAAGAAGTTAAGGAAGTTAGATGAGCAATTGTGTGTGGCAATTCTCCATCCAAGTTGTTAGTGTCGACATCAAAAACTTGCAGTGAGGTTAAGTTTCCAATGTCCGCTGGAATGTTTCCGGCGAGGTTGTTGAAGAAAAGATTTATGACTGTTAAGTTTGTGAGGTTCCAAATGGTTCTTGGAATTGGACCAGAGAAATTGTTGACTGAAAGGTCTAAGTGTGACATTTCCTTTAAGTTTCCAATCTCTTCAGGAATAGGACCAGAGAAAAGATTTCTGTACATAAAAAGGTAATTAAGTTTCTTCAAAAGGCCAATCTGTGGAGGAAGCTTTCCTATTAAACTATTGTTTTGAACTTGCAAGGAAGTTAACTCAGTCCAGTTAGAGATCAATGAAGCAGAAATTTGACCAGAAAGGAAATTATCTGATAATCCTAGTTCTGAAAGTTTGGTCAAATTTGCTAATGACAAAGGCAAAGAACCTGTTAGATTATTTCCTGCTAAGCTCAAGAAAGTTAGATTTGTGCATAGGCCAATCTCAGAAGGGACTTTAGAGTTGAAAAAATTAAGACGGAGATCAAGATGCACTAGCTCCTTTAGTTGACCTAAGGAAGAAGGAATTTCCCCATGGGCTGAAATGTTGTTCAGCTCAAGAATTTGAAGTCTAGATATCGATCCTATCTCTGCTGGAATAGGACTATTAAACATGTTATTACCTAGACGAAGATCTTTGAGATTTGAGAGCATGGACAAGTTGGATGACAGTTTTCCTTCTAGCTCACAGTTTGTGAGGTTGAGATATTCGAGTTTGCCCAAATTAACATACATGGATTCTGGTATTGTACCATTCCATTTGTTCCAAGAGAGGTCAAGGTATGTTAAGTTCGCGCACTCAAATATGAAACTTGGAATCTCACCAGTAAATTTATTTAATTCCAAACCAAGGTAATTTAAGGAAGGCATGTTTAAATATTGAGACCAGTTAAGGGAAGATACAAAATAGTTTGATCCAAAGTCAAGGTAACTTACCTTGGGGAGACTAGTGAACTGATAGGGAATAGTGCCATTGAGATTGTTGAAGAAAAAACTAACATATTGAAGCTCCCTTAGCTGGCCTAGCTCAGAAGGGAGTGTGCCTTCAAGTAAGTTGTTTCCCAAGTCCAAGAAACTGAGTTTGGAGAGGTTGCCAATTGTTGATGGTATTGATCCACCAAATCTATTTCCATTGAGGTTTAGGAGGGTTAGATTTGGGAGAGAAGAAAAATCCAAGTCAGCGAGTTTTCCGCTGATATTGGCGTTAGACAAGTTTATCTTTGAGACAGTTGTATTTGAGTTGTCACAAACCAAAGCATCCCAATTGCAAATATTGATATGGTTGGTGAGTGACCATGAAGGAAGAGGAGGTGATAGGCTCCATTTGACAAGAGCTTCTGCTTCTGTTCTTAGTGATGCTGTGATTTTCAATGGAAGCAAAGATATAACTAGTGTATAAAAGACAAAGGCAATGCCCTTTTGATGATTTGTCATGTCTGAGTATATGGCCTTTATGTTAATACTTTAATCTCTTTTATAGAGAAAAAAACTTCATATGAGGCACAAATGTCAAATTGAGGGAAGCAAAAGTATATGATGTGGTCCACATGTAATTATTGATGTGATTGCGAGTGTTTTACACGAAGTTTATTTGCTTGCTTGATTGCTCTCTTTTATTTTTGGCACAAATTTTGACTTTTATTTCAGGATTTTACACGTTTCTCTCTAATATTATTTCCTTGGGAGACCAAGAAACACCGGAAGTGTCAATACGCTAACTTTCAAAATCAAGCGACACTGACACCACAAATTTACTCAGAATCTTAAGTCAATTAGAGTATGAGTCACCTTTTTTATATACTTAATATTTTTTATATTTCTAGTCGTTGTGTGATTTAATCACACACATTTGAATTTAACAATCTCTCCCACAAGTGAGGCAAACACATTCCATAGTTTTATAGTTTTATGAAGATATATGGTGTTAAGGTCTTCTAGATCTTGAATGTTTAACCTATTGATAATTTCAGCACTCTCCAAACTTCCTAACAAGTGACATTAGAGTCATGGTTAGACTTGATGGATTATAATGGGTAGGGTAAAAACCTGCAAAATGAATATGAGCGCGTGCATGACTAATTATCCACTAAAATAAATAGATATCGGTGCGAGTACATATACTTTAGTATTCAACCCGTCCCACACCGATACAATATATAATATATAATTATATATTTTTATTTATATTATTATATAAATTGTCAATCATATCTGTTAAATAAGTGTTCGATTGTTTCATAACTCAATAATAAAAAAATATATATTTTTTTTTCATTTAAAAATATAAAATTATAAAATGATATCATTTTTTTTTTAGTTTATTGATTTGTTTTTACTTAGAATTTTTTTTATTACGAAGTTATAATTCATTTAATGAAATGACATGATATTTTGTTTTACTATAATATTGGACTAACATAATTTGTAAAAAATTATTTTAGGTAAATATTAAAAAAAGTTTTACTCGAGTATAAGTACCACGTGCACTCGGTACGAGTGCTTACCCGATACTAGTACATCACAATTTTAGAAGTATACGTGCTTCAAAGAACATTGATGTCGTTATATATCTACAAAAAAGATGAACTATGAAATCTTCAATGTTTGAAAACGCGTATACTTCTAAAATGAACAAATAAAATATTATGAATTCGAATATTGACTCTCGCATCTAATATCCTTATATAACTATTTTTAAGATATACCGTAAGTCGTTGATGCTTTAGGCGTCGTGAAACATATGATATAGTAGAATCCACCTAAGAATTAGTCAAAGTAAAGTTTATGAAAGTTCTTAAAATGCACATATGTCAAAGCAAGGGAAGCAACGTTATTATGATTTGATCCATTAGTTTATGGCGTGATTATGATTGTTTCCTACTTTCTAATTTAAAATAAATGTTACTTCTCACATTTAATTTAAAGTTAATTTTTTTAATTATAGATTCTAATTACTGTAGATACATTATTTTAAAATATTATATTATCTTTTATATTTATGATAATAAGAAACACAGCGATAAGAAAATTAAATTAATAAAGTTACCATATCTTTTAACAATTTATTGTATTTTTAATTTCTATGTAAAAAATTTAAATGATACTCAGTTAAAATAAAAAGAGTATTTTAACTTCTCACATTTTTATTTTTTTTTAAGAATCTTCAATTGTAGTGTATTGCCCAAATCACATTAATTGAGAAGATATGTCAACAAAATTGACAATAATGACTATAAACTCCTAAAGAAATTTCAAGTTCGAATTCGGTTGTTGGTGTGTAACCTAACAATTGTTAGAATTATACACACAAAAAGAGAAAGAGAACAAGTAAAAGTAATTTGTGTATATTGCATTTCACACACTTGTGTGTTAATGAACTAATGAACTAATGTTGATTATATATAAATCACTAGTTGAACTTACAAACATTAACAAAATCCAACAACTTAATTAGTTAAATTAGTTAGCTATTTGAATAACATACAACTTAACTAACTTAACCACTAAACTTGAATTACACCTTAAGAGTCCCTCTTAATTCAAAGTCTCCACACTAATCTAAGTTTCAAAAACCATCATGTTTTAAAAATAAGATGTCATAATCTATTATGCCCTTAAGATAATAGATTATGTGTCAAGGAAATCACATACATTATAAGTATGTACCACGTTAAGTTTACTTGAGCTCCATTTGAAGGCGAAATACAAATAATTTCCTTGGTTGCTTGCTTCCTAAGCATATCAAGTAATTCTTGCCCAAATCTACAAGAATTTTGATTATATGCAAACATGTAAGTATAAAATGTAACCTAAGAGAGGGTGAGTTAAGTTTAAAGATGTTTTTAGAGATTTATGATAATTTTTTGGTTTTTTAAAATTTTTCAGAATTATGAATGATGAATGAATGATTAACAAAAAAGTAAAGCATAATAAAATAAAGTGACACAGAGAGTTATACTAGTTTCTCTTTTCAATCAAGGGTATATTTAGTCATCTCACACCCTTTTGAGAGATTTCAACTATTGATAGATCTTTGTACAACCCTCACACCAAGACTTCTTCTACAATCTTCTAACAACAACAAAGAAACACATCACTTTCTTGATTTTCAAAACACCAACAACAATGACGAACTTTGAATCACCCCGATTCAAAGGAATTTTCCAACAAATAAAAAATAATTTTTTCTATTTGCAACAACCTATAATAAGAAGTATAAATTTTTTTTATAAATAAAGGATCACTACACACTTGGTGAAAAATTACAGATAAACTGATAATTTTGTAATATGTAAACTTTGTAGAAACTTTGATAATTTGATAACTTTGCCCCTTTTTTGATATATTGATAATTTCAACATTCTCCTTCAATGAATAAATTAATAGAATATAAATATTTAAATGCTCCACACTTTTTCACATATGATTTTAAAGTTATGAAGATTTTTTTTTCCTGTCAAAATATTTATTAATACTTAAAACATATAAAATTGTTCGTGAAAAAGGTGATTTTGAATTTTAGAAAACATTCTATTTATAATTAACCATGCACCTCTTGAATTTTAAGAAGCAATGTTTGAAAAATATTTACGATCAAATGCAATGATTATGAAAAGGTTCTATGTTCATTAGAGATAAAAAGGTGATGCATTGGTTCAGTATTTTTTCAAAACAAACAGAGGTAAATGGATTTATTAATAAATTGATTTTGATGCTTGCAACATACAAAAGAATTGAAATCTTAAACAATCAGTTTACCAAAGGAGGAAAGTGATTTCCCTTATTAGATTCCTTAAAAATTTGTTTGGCAGAGAGGAAGGAAACCGATTTACTAATATAAGGAAGTCGATTTACCTAAAAAAAATCCTAAAATTGAATTAGTAAAAATCTATTTGAAAGTGAATCATGATACCATATTTTGTCAAACTTTTAGAAGATATGTGATGAAAGTTGTGAGCATTTAAAGCTTATAAACCTTTTTCTTCTTTGATATTTCTACTTAAGATATCATTTAATCTTTTTCTTCTTTTCACTTATTTTCCTTCATCAAAATATCATAGAAAATTAGGATTGACTTTACAATCTCCACCTTTTTATGATGACAAATCTATACTTGATATTTGTGACTTTTTTGGAATACTTTGCCTTAATCCATGAACTCCGTGTACTTAGATAAAAGATAGAAATAATAAAACACAAATATGTATAAATCTTTCTCCCCCTTTTAATATTATCAAAAAGAAAAGAAAAATAAGTAAAAGATAACATCGAGGAAGTATATAAAAGGATGTACATAATACAAAGCCTTAATCCAAACATAAGAATACTTAAATATAAAAGAACATTCATGAAGGATTATTAGTATTGTTAATTCACACATAGAATTTTGAATTAACTATTTAATCATAAGAAGAACAAGAATCATGTACCTTTGATATATATTTGAATGATCATTATTTTGACATTGGTTATTGCTTAAACATCGTGCTCATCCAAAATTCCTAGCTCCCTTCGTATCTTGAAAAATGGTTCTTTAGAAAACGGAATTTTAAAATTTTCCACCAATATGTGTATCCACAAAAGTAACTTCGACATCTCTTTCAAGAACATGATCTCATAGAAAATAATGTCGTATGTCCATGTGTTTGGTTCGTGGATGTATGACTGGATTTTTTTTTGTTATGTTAATTTCACTTGTGTTGTTGCATCTAAGTGGAATGCATCCAAGATCAATTATGTAATTGCAAAGTTGTTGTTTTAGCCAAAGAATATGAGCATAACAACTACATGTTACTACGTATTCTGCTTCTGCTATACTAAGAGCAAGAAACACTTGTTTCTTACTTGACCATGATACTAGTGCATTATCTAGGATGTGACATTTACCACTTGTGCTTTTAAGATCAATTTTATAACCTACATAATTTGAGTTAGAAAAACCAATCAAATCACATATACTTAGGATACCATTGTCCAAGATTTGTTGTTCCTTTGAGATATTTCATTATTCATTTTACAGAGGCGAGATGAGATTCCTTTGGATTTGCTTGAAACCAAGTACAAATACATACACTAAATATAATGTTAGGACAAACTTCTGTTAAATAAAGTAAAGAGTCAATCATACCTTGATACTTTCTTATGTCAACAGAAACAACAAATTCATTTTGAGCAACATATGTTCTTGTACCCATTGGAATAGCCATCTCTTTGCAACAGTCCATATTAAACTTCTTCAACAATTCCTTGAAATACTTGGATTGGTCGATGAAGATTCCATTATTTAATTTCTTAATTTGAAGTCCAATAAAATAGTTTAACTTACACATGATGGACATATCAAATTCTCCTTGCATCATCATTGAAAATTCTTTACATATGTATTTAATTGTTGATCCAAATATGATGTCGTCAACATATATTTGATATAATAT